AGCCCTTACTTTCTTCCTTTAGAATCTCGGCAGCATGACCTACCCAGGAATCTGTTGAACAGTTTCGCTCTAGGCAAGCCCTGTCAATCATTCCGTGACATCATCCCAGCCTCACTGGTTCCAAATCTTGGAAACACTTCCCCCAAACTGACCCCCCTTCTTTCACTCCAGAAAATACTGTCTCTCAAGATGATCTGACGGTGTTGGAACGAACCAAGGACCAACTCTGTCAAATAGTCACAATCAGAAACCCTACACATTTGTGATGCCCCCATTTTCTTTCAGGTATCACCAATCATTCCTTGACATTAGAGGGTACTGACTAAGAACAGTTTTGTTAAGTGAATGAAGACAGAAACCATGGTATCTCTGACGTTAGATTCTATGGGTCTGAAACTTCTTAGAATGCACGTGGCAGATAACTGACATTTCATTATCTTTAGTGGCATTAAATTGGAAAGTAAACAGGATTGAAAAAGCAAAGGGGGGAAAAAGCACGTATCCCCACGAATTACATGACCACATGGCCGCGTAAGCCTTCGGCCAAGCTGACTTCAGTGTCTTACGGGGAGATAGCAGCACAGAGTGGAAAGACGTGGGTTTTTGAAGTGAGCCAGATTTTGGCTCAAATCCCAGCACCTCCATGAACAACCTGCGTGATTTTGGGCAACTCACATAATTTCTCTGAGGGCTGGTTCCATTAGCTAAAGAACAGGGATAGTAATACCTTCCTTATATTATTATGCCACCGAGAAGACTCTGCCAACTACCATAGAAGTCTTGGTTCAGTGAATGGACGGCTCTTATTGTCTTCCTTAAGAGGGTGCAGGAACCGTGTCTGAGGGGATTTTAATCACGTTTCTTCCACTAAACACAGAGCTCCCTAAAGTCCTGGTAACCATAAATGAAGCCTTAACTCAAGGACAGTAGAGTCTTTGAAGGGAACAGAATTAAAGTAGGGTCTGTGCTTTCATGATGGGGTACAAAGAAGCTATTAGTCAACTCAGCAAATATGTGCTCTGTAAATCAGCTCAGCACATTCGAAGAGACCCCACTCAGAAGCAGCAAGCAGCTGAGTTCAGATCTGAGGGTCTGACCCTCAGACAGGTCTCTGCCTGTGCCATGTAAGCCAGGAGCCTTCAGGGAATCAATGACTGCTCCCTAGAGTTGATCCCCGCAGGCTAACTAGGATTATCGACTGCCAGGTCTACTTCAAATGAATTTTCAGGAAGTCCATGAGCATAGCAAGATTTGGAGCATCTAGGAGAGGTTGCTGTGTGGACTGTGTTACTGGATGGGTGTGGAAGGAGGAAGACTAGAAATCTAATACTCTTCCTATATAGGTTCAGATCCTCTGCCCGTATTTCATACATTTCTTTTTTGTCATTAACTCTTCCTACTTTTATTAGCTGTGATTCTTTTATAAAGAAGAACTTTCATCAATTATTTGGTTACCCTGAGAAACAGTCTAGGAAAAGAAAGGATAAATGCTTCATTCTTTTCTTTTATGTATCAATTTCAGAATGAGTTGGCATTCTAGTAATCTTCAAAGACATTAATGATGACATAAAATTATCATTATATTCTTTCTTATTGGGGAAGGGAGCAGCATTGCAGGTTATGTGGTTTGGGATCCATCCAAGTAGGCATGGGTTTGAATTCTGGGTCTGCCATATAGTGACGATGTGAATTTTGGGAAGTTAATTTCCCAGAGCTCACTCAGTTTCCTCATCTATAAACACTAAGTTTCATTTTGCAGTTTTGCTGCAAGCATTCAATGAGCTAATGCATGCAACAAGCCCTTTTACATAGTGGTTACTCAATGAATCTTAGCTTTCCCAGACACTGACTATTATGGGGATTAAGTGAGAGAAACCTTTCTTTCCTCCCAGCCAAAACCCAAGATCGTCTTGGCTTATTGAAGCATGAAAACATCAGGGTGACCCATTTATAAGCTTGGTTTGCCCTGGGGTACTGAGACTAAGGAATCACCATGCATGGTACCTGCCTCTGCCCAGAGGGCTGCAGCCCCGCCTGCCCATGAACTGGGGCTGGCAGTAAGCTGATGCTCTCCCAGTGTAAGTTCTGGGAATTCACGCCGTGGGCTCTGCAGACCTCAGCCTCCCCTGGGTTGGCAGCCTCTGAGTTGAACTTGGGCGTTAGCCAGCATCTGAGCGCTAACCTTCAGTGAGACCAGCTTCTTTGTGTCAGGCACCTGTCTTTGGGGAAGTAAGATTTTTTCTCCTGTTGATATGGAGAGTCAGTTTCTGACTTTAATAAATTCAGTGTAGGGGCGCCTGGGTGGCTCAGTCAGTGAAGTGTCTGCCTTCAGCTCAGGTCATGATCCCAGGGTTCTGGGATCGAGTCCCACTCCGGGATCCCTGCTCAGTGGGGAGCCTGCTTCTCTCCCTCTCCCTGCTTGTGCTCTCTCTCTCTCTCTGGCAAATAAATAAATAAAATCTAAAAAAATAGAAATAAAATAAATTCAGAGTACATTAAGCTACATTGTCCTCCAATGTATACCTATTGTCTCAAAGTACTTAGCACCTACTCTTACTCTCAGATGTGACCCAGTCTGTATGGTAAGTTATATGGTCAAGACTCTACCCATAAAAAGGCAAGTGAAAGCAAAGTGGCTGGGCAGGATTCAGGGGAATGTAAAACATGTAAAAAATAAAAGGCTTATGGGATTAAAAATTGATTTTTAACATCAAGGAACCAGTACTACCAGTACATTTCCACTTGGCTCAAGTAGCTGGTAGTGACTGATTAAAAGTTACATCTATCAACAATGGTCTTCTCTAGAAAAGATGATTTTTGAGTGAGTGACAGTGTGTGTGTGTGTGTGTGTGTGCGCACGCGCGCGCACATGAAGAGAAAAAAGGCATCAGCATGCTGGTAAATGTTTAACAACAGCTCTTGGGGTGGTGAGGGTGCCCTGATTTGTGGTTTTCTGATTGCCATGGCGTAAATACTTCCATCATGGCCAATTTCAACGTACAAATGTGAAGCTCAGAACACAAGAGTAGGAAAGAGATGCACACGGTAAGTCCTGTGCGTTGGCGGGAGCCGGCTCTCACACACCCATGGAGAAAGGGACTTTAACGCATACTCTGAATACTTTTGTGATGTTTTACTTTTTACAGTATTCGTGTATTAATTTTGTGATGTACATGCCACATATATGCTATATATATACACGCATACATGTACACGCACAGAAACTTATCCGCATCTGTGTGAGGATTAGTCCAAATCATTGTTTTCCTAAGTTTTTTTAAAAAATACATCTAAGTGAAATCTCCACTTTAGCACATAACATGTGGGAGGGGCTCGGAAGTCAGAGCGCTGTGGGGTGTCACGTGACCACCGGGACAGGGGTTGGGGCTCGCTCTGGTGATTACCACGATTTAGCTTGCTGGCATCTGGGATAGAGAATGTCCGGCTTCCGTGCTGAGACCGAAGCTGGACAGAGATTCTGAAGATGCTTTGAGGGTGAGAGCGTAAAGCGAGATCTAACCTCAGAAGAGGAGGAAAGAAGGGTAAGGTTCAAAGGATGAGAAAAACAAAACGGGAGAACAGTGTAAGGTTGCCGTTTATGGATCTTGCTCTCTACACTGGCGTGTGTCTCGGCAGCTTCTTATAGGAGTGGGAGGGAGCGGGGAAGAAACAGTCCGGACTTTCGTTTATTGAATGCAGCGTTCGCTGGTCACATTGCAACTCAATACAAACAGCCCTGCCCAAAGTAGGGCGTGGACTCTTGTTCTCATCAATGTAAACACAACATTAATATTGAAGATTCAAGAAAATGGGTAAAAAGTCCAGTGTCTCCTCAATCCATGTTAATGGTAAAGGTGCTTGCCTACCCTCTGCACGAGTCCCAGAGGGAGCCCGAGGCCATGACCTCGTCCCGGCCGCAGGGAAGTGGCACGGACACAGAGGAACCCAACACGTTCTTCCTGACGGTCTCCAGACGGACACGTGGACCTTCAGAATCTGTGTGAACTACAAGCTTGTGTGAACTACTGCAGTTCTTCTAAAAGCCTGAGAGGTCCGTACCTTCCGTGTGCACCGGAACAGTCCCTTCTGAGCCCTCTCCCCATGAACCAGTCACGGCCAATAGCAAATGCGACGGTCTTCGTATTTCTACCGTCTCCGTCTTAGCCCCTGGATTCTGGAGAGTAGGGGATTCAAGGTCACGGGGGCCTCAGGGATAATCCTGAAGAAGGCTGCCCATGTTTAAATGTTGGCTGAAGACTCTCGTACTCCTTGCTGGGCCACTGATGGCAGGGGCATGTTGGATGGGGCAGCGGATTCTCCTTCAGAGCCTTAAACGATCAGGTTTTCTATTTTGGATTCCCAGACCAAAAACAAACAAACAAACAAACAAACTCCCCCCAAACAAAAAACAAATCGAAGCAAAACAAGAGTGTCCTTGAGGATAAGGAACCAACCGACCCCCATCTCCAGGTCCCACCTGGTATAATGTCCCCATTGGGTTTTTCCAAATGGTTGGTTCAGATCATTGGTTTGCCTCCCACCTTGGATACGCAGCTAGATTGCGGGACAAAAAAAGAAAGTTGCCTCTGAACGAAGAGACAGTTTTGCTTTTATTTCCTGGGATGGCTAACCCCCAGCACCCTGACTTCCCTTTCTTAAAAAGCAATGAGAACGTCCTAAAGACCTGCTTCGCTTTGTGGCTTTGTGGTCGGATAACCCCTTTGCTCCCTCTAACTCCTCTGTGTCCTGTTCTTGAAGAGACTGTGTCGACGAGCTGTTCTTCCACATTCTGGGAGTGCCAGATTGTGGAGTAGAGAGGCGCTGGCCGGATCCTTGTCCCAGATCTCTGTAGTGTGGGCGGCTTTGTTGGGCCAAAGAGACAAGTAAAAACAAACCAAAAAAGCATTGCTCAATTTTGAGTTTGAAGGCTGGGCCCCAAACGGCGAGTGGCGTTCCCCCTGCAGAACAGGTCTCTCCCCCTAGTGGTGGGCTTCCTGGTGTTAGCTGTTGTTCTCAGCCGTGAGATACTTGAGGGCGGCAAAGCCGTAGCGGCGGGACATGTCCTGCTGAAACTCTTCCTTCAGGGTTTTGAGACAGATGCGGTATTGCTTGTTGGACCGGAACTTGGTGATATCGAAGCTGGGGGCATGAGGCATGTGGATCATGTAGGCATTGGGCAGCACGATGAATTCATATTCCTGGAAGACAAGAGCAGCGTGAGCACTTGCAAGGACCCCTGGGAATGTATGACCGATGACCAAGTGCATGACCAAATGACCAAGTGAATGAATGAAGAGGGGAACGACATCAGCAAGGAGGGGGGCATTGGAAAGAGAGCCATGTTGGAGAGGGACAGTGCAGGGCTGTTTCCATGACTCCGGACAAATTACTGGGATTCTCTATGCCTTAGTTTTCTCATCTATAAAGTAAACGTAATAACACCTACCTTGAAAGATGACCAATCAGGGATGGATAGTGCTGGGCAGAGCTCATAGCCTGTGAAAGGTTCTTGGTAAATGTGAGCATGTGCCCATGTGGTTGCTCTAGAATGACACAAGCCATCAGAGATGCTCTTGCTCAATGAAATGATGTCTGTTTCTGTGATTTCTCATAGGGCTTGATGAGATTTAACAGCCTCAACAGATTAGTACACAAGAGGGGACAAAAAAAGAATCAAGAAAAAAAAAAAGATCCCACTGGATGGAAGCTCATTAAGAACAAACCCTAAGAGACTCTTAATCATAGGAAACAAACTGAAGGCTGCTGGAGGGAAGGGGTGTGGGGGGATGGGATAACTGGGTGATGGACATTAAGGAGAGCATGTGATGTAATGAACACTGGGTGTTATATAAGACTGATGAATCCCTGGCCTCTACCTCTGAGACCAGTAATACATTATATATTAATTAATTGAATTTAAATTAAAAAATATTTTAAAAAAGAAATTAAAAAAAGAATTACTAGTGGGTGTTCTTGAGCAAAATAAAAACTAATGCAAAAAAAAAAAAGAACAAAGTTCTTGTCTACTCATCCTTATTGTAAGTCACACCACCATACAGTAGCCTCCACTTGGCAGAATACAGATAGAAACTCAGACCAAAAATAAAATGCCTCCAAATAGCCAAAATAGCTGACACAAATTTAGGGCATGGAACTCCAAGGAGAACCCAGCACACCTTCACTCGGACCCCGTGTTCTCTGATTTTGGACATAATGTCTGATAAGCTTTGGTTATCTAGTTCCCCAGCCCAGAGCAGATCAGAAGAAACTCTGAAGGGGAATATGAGAATGGGGAAAGGGAGCTCTTACAGATGGAGGAACACTTGACACAGCAAGAAGGGACAGTTGATGGTGAGGAGGAATACAAATAATCCGGAGAAGAAAATGCAAGAGCTCCCAGAGCTTAGCTGTTTGGGACTTTCCTGCGGGGACAAAGAACCTGACCAATCCCACTAGCCCTCTAGGTGTGGCCATTCCCTGTCAGGTATGTACTCATTATTTCCGGAAATCACCGGAAAGGGTAAAGTTATATTTAGATGTGTTACCGGCAAAGAAAGAAAAATAACCAAGAAATTTGTAATTTGTTCTGTCAAAATTGCCTAAAATATACAAAGCCCACATCGCAGGGCTGGAAAAATTAACTTTATTTGAACTAGTTCACCTCACCACACTGCTGGACACAAGCATATGACATTTCTTTTCCTTCAAGCAGAAGCTGGGGCAGACTGAACATTTCGGTCTGTGAGCAGCACTGTACTACCTCCAAGTATTATTAAAAAAATGGACATTAATTAATGGTCATGCTTCTGTTGTTATATATGGACACTATTCTACCGCCTTCCATCTACACCAGTGGTTTGCAACCCTAGATGCTTACTAAAATCATGTGGGACTGGGTGCCTGGGTGGCTCAGTCAGTTAGGCGTCTGCCTTTGGCTCAGATCATGATCCTGGGGTCCTGGGATCGAGTCCTGCATAGGGCTCCTTGCTCAGCGGGGAGTCTGCTTCTTTCTCTGCCCTTCACCCCCGCTCGTGCTCTATCTCTCAAAAATACATAAATAAAATCTTAAAAAAAAAAAATCACTTGGGACCGCTCTCAAACACACTGGAACTGTTGGAAAGTTCTCCAGGTGATTCTCAGGGCAGCCAGCACTGAGCATCCGGCCTTTTTTTTTTTGAATTTGAAGTGCTCCTGTTGAGAAATATTTACTCTGTGCTGCATGAGAAGCCTTGGAGAACAGCACACAAACGGAAACAAGGTGGGGCTGAGAGGCCCAGGCATGCTTCTCCTCATTTACCCAGAGTAGCTTAGCTTTGCTTTTGTTTATTTAACACTGGGGTTGATGAACTCAGCATGTCTGGCCTGCTGCATTGTTTTTATAAATAAAGTTTTATTGGAACACAGCCACATCCACGTTTAGATACTGTCTATAGGTGAACTACAACCACAGAGTTGAGTAGTTGAAAAGGAGACCTGTCGGCCCCACGGAGCCCCCAAATCTACTATCCGATCTTTTGCAGAAAAAGCTTGCAGACACCTGGTGTAACCTGTTAGAATTCTGCTGATTTCTTTTGAAGTAGGTGTTTAGTAAATATTAGTTGAATGACTGAAAGTGTTTCACAACGAAATATAGCCTGAAAATCATCACTTTTAGTTACAGGGCAGGATAATGAGCTGCATCTCAGCCACATGCCTTCTTGTGTCCCTTATATGGAACTTGGAGAGTGCTGTGTGTTAGTTATATGGCTCAAAGGCCAAGTTGGTGATGGTGTTTTGTCCTCACCATTAAATTGGGTGAGGGTGGGGAGTGAAATGTTTTGTCATAGGACACTCACACTTGCCTGGGTCCTGGCTGGGAATCCAACTCTCACCCAAAGGTGTAGAGAAGGAGCAATTGTTTGGGAATCAGTGGCCATGAGAATTAGCATTGCCACGTTCTCACTTCCGGCCCCTGACCACGTTTCATTCCCTCTCAGGGCTCTGTTCTCTGACCTCCAAGGTCCCCTTTCAGCCCTGAAGCCGACGCTTTCTCCCCCCATGGCGCCAACTACACGACGCCTCACCATCTCACCTGCGCATCCAATTCCATGATATGAGCCACCTTGTTCCAGCCAAAGCCCACAAACCTCCGGTCGTACTCAGGGCAGTCCCTTCTCACGACAACGTACGGCTCGAAATCGGCCTCCCACTCAACACGGTAAGGCGTGGTGGCAGTCCGCCACTTGGCAAAGTTTGTGGGAGCGTGGCCTTTTGTCCAGACGTGGTACCTAGGTCACATGGAGAAAAGCCACTGGGTGAAACGAAGCTCAGCTTCCGCAACAGTGCTGGTTCAGAGGAAGAAAAGGTGTCTGCGGATGCAGTCCTTGTTGTGGGTGGCACGGTGTCCCCCCAAAAGATAGGTTGAAGTCCTAACCCCCAGTACGTGTAGATGTGACCTATTTGGAAAGAGGGTCTTTACAGATGTATCAAGATGAGGTCATGGTGGATTAGGGTGGGCTCTAATCCAACCACTGGGGTCTTTATAAGAAGGAAATGTGGATACTGAGATACACACCGGGAGGATGCCATGGGAAGGTGGAGGCAGAGATTGAAGTGATGTACCCACGAGCCAAGGAATGCCAAGGATGGTCAGCCTCCACCAGAAGCTGGAGAGAGGCAAGGAAGGATTCTTCCCTAGAGCCTTCAGAGGAAGAATGAACCTGCCAACACCTTGATTTTGGATTTCTGGCTTCCGCAACTATGAGAGAATAAATTTCCATTGTGTTGAGCTACCCCGTGTGTAGTATTTTGTTACGGCAGTCCTAGGAAACTAATCCAGTCCGTTATCTACATTCTTCATTAACGAGGAGACTCTCACAATGAAAGGGTAAGTGAATTCCTGGAGGGCTCTGTATCATTTACATGGACCTAACTGCAGGTAAGTCTCTGCTGGTTATTCCGACCAGAGAACACGGTGACCTAGCCCTTGTACCGTGTCCTCCCCCTTGAGGCAGGACCCGTGGCTGTACCACTCCCATGATTATGTCACATCATCTGGCAGAAGGGATCCCTGTAGATGTAACTAAGGTTACTAATCAGTTGACTTTGAGTTAGATAAAGGGGAATTACTGGGGGTGGGGGGAGGGTGGGCCTGGCTGAATCATGAGAATTTTTAGATCTGGGTTTGGAAGAGAGCCACGTGTGAGCTACCAGTGGGAGCCTCGTGGCAAGCAGCCAGCAGGGAAATGGTGACCATAGTCCTCCACGTGCAAGGAAAGGAAGTCAGGGAGCCTAGAGGAGTGTGGCACACTCTGGAGGGGAACTGGAGCCTTGCCCCCACCTTGATTTCAGCCCAGGGAGGCCCTGAGTGAGAATCCAGCCATCCCATGCCCAGATCTCTGACCCTTAGGGACCGTGAGATAATACATTTGTCTTGTTTAAAGCTTCTAAATTTGTGGCAATTCGTTATATAGCAATAGAAAATGAATACAACCATATAACAATAATCATAAGCCAACATTTATTAAGCACTAACTATATACTGGGTATATTGTAAATATTGTATCTTTAGTTTTAAATTCTTATAACTTACTCAATCTCAAGTTACAAATAATAAGGATGGAGCTGGGATTCAAACCCAGACAGCCTGGCTCAAAAGCCAGGGCCCTGGACCACTATGCTGGGTGATCTCTCTTCTGCGTGCCCATCACCCACACTCTCTGGCCTCTACAGAGCAGAGAGTCAGTGATCGGGCACTAAGTTGAAGAGATTAATGAACAAGTAATCTCAAAACCTGACGGGTAGCTATGAGAGAGGGCAGGTCGTGGGGCAGGAATCTCCCTCTGGAAGCTACAAAGAGGTGGCAGGAGCCTGGGAGCCTCGTGAAACAGCGGACCTGGCCCAAGAGCAAGGGGTTAGGGGAAAAGAACATTGCAGAAAAAGGTAATATGAAAGGTGGGACCCCAACAACTTAGGGAGCTTCAGGGAGAAAGGAGCTCACGGTCTGGGGTCCCACCTCCACTCAGGGAGGCTCTAAAGCACATGAGGGTTGAGTGAGAGCTGGCAGTCAGTGTGGCAGGTGGCGCTCTTCTCGTAGGGGACGCGGCCACTTGCTTACTCTGCGCCCTCACCCCCGCCCCCCCCCCTCAGAGGCTGGACCTCCCTGGGACCCTCATGAACTGCCCAATGAGGCTGAATGGGCACTGGCCAATGGCCAGGCTGGCCGAGGGCAGGGACTTGAATCCCCAGCTCCACGGATTCAGCAAGTGCCTCCAAAACTACGGTCACACGATCGGAAGGAACACAAGAGGCTGAGTAACACCGAGGGCATGGAGTGTGAGAAGGAGGGATACTGCAAGATGTCGGGATTAAGCCAAGAATCAGGCCGGGAAGGAGTTGATTTTCCATTCGTGAACTAGCTCGACAGGTGGTCCCGACACCTGCCACTTGCACAGAGCAGCCCAGCACCACCAGCGGCCGGGCACACACGCTGGCTCAAGCTCGGCACAGCGGGGCCGCCGAACCGGGGTTTGAAACCTGCCTCCGTCGCTTAGGGGCAGAGGCCCTCGGTCAGCAGAACATTTAAACTAGCCTTTACTTCCATCTTGTGTCCCCTGGGGAAAAGAGCACCTATCTTGTTGAATGGCTGGGGAACTTAAATGAGGAAATGTTTATAAAGAGCTTGGCACAGTGCTGGCATACAGTAGGCACTCAATAATGCTCCTGCCCTAAGAGGCAGTTTAACAAGGCGGCTAAAAACAACGGCTCTGGAGCCAGCCTGTCTGGGTTGGAACTCTGTCACTCAGCAGGTGTAGAAAATGTACCTAATTTCCCTGTTCCTTCGTTTCCTTCTCTAGGTAAAATTATTAATAAATAGTAATAATTATTCGTTTCTTTCTCTTGGTAAAACAGAGAGAATCATGCCCGCATCACGGATTTATGACAGCGATGTGAATTCACATCAAGCACCCAGGGCAGTGTCTGATACAGAGTAATGTTTCCAAAAGTGAAGATACGCTCATTACTCCCTCTTGTTTGCCCTAGATATGGTGTCAGTTCACAGGGGGCTGACTCTCCGTGATGTCAATGTATCATAGCCATCTTATTTAGAATACAAACCCTTGGCCTACTGTGTGGGAAAGAGGAAGAGGGGGGAGGGCAGCTGGGTCAGTCCTGTCCCCCGGGTGGGGGGGCAGCATCCGTGAGCTCGGTGGGAAGACGGACAAGCGGTGCCACACAGCTGGTCAGCACGGATCAGGGTGACATGACAGTTCACCTGCCACAAGAGCACGCGCGTGCCTGACTCCGCCCCCCCCCCGGAACCCACCATCAGTCCAGGGGACACACTTGTTCTGACATTATCAACACCAGGCAGCCTCCAAAACAACAGAGACGAGAGAGGTTTCCTAGATACGGCATGTGGGATGCCACTCCGGAGAGATCTGGGGGCACCCTGCTTTGAGCAGTGGTTCTCAGACTTGAGCTGCGTATCAGAATCACCTAGGAGACTACAGTTTGACCAATCACTGGGTTCCACCCCCAGAGTTTCTTATCCAGTACATCCGGAACGGGGCTTGAGACCTGACACTTCTACGTTCCCAGGGGATGCTGATGCTACTCGTCCAGGGACCCCGCTCTGAGAACCTAGAGCACCAGCGGGGGTGGGGACGATTTCCCATTCCAGCTGCAATGGGAGGGGGGTCTCAGCTGCAAGGAGACTTGAGAGCTCATCGTTTGGAGGGGAAGGAAGGTGACAAAAGCAATTTCTTGGGGGGAAGGTCAGTAATTTAGCACTTGGCCTCATGGCTTGTGAGCTGCGGACCAGAGCAGGAATCCTGGAAACGGCAGGCCAAACCCGGGCTCCCTTGCCCACAGACGTGGCCTTGAAATGTGTTCTCAAATCACCTGGGGATGGAGATGGAAGGAAAGAGGCCCTGGAAATCTGCCAGGCGTGGAGCCATCAGGCTACGGCATCTGTGGGAGGCTCGGATGAAGATCTGCTCTCAGAGTCTCAATTTTTACCTGCACCTAACATGGATTGGTAAGAACATTCAGGACTCAGTCCAATGATATCTGAGTTAAAAGCATAGGCTCTGCAGCTCCTCAGACCTGGACTGAATCCAGGCTCTGCTGTGTGCTGGTGGTGTGTCCTTGGGTAAGTTATTTGGCTTCTCAGAGCCTCAGTTTCTTTATCTGTAAAAGGGGGATGATAGTATCTGCCTCACAGATTTGTTGTAAGGATTACAAGAGCTGACAACAGTGCCTGGCACAAGTTACGTATTCAACAAATGGCAGTTTTTATTTCTTTCCAAGAAGAAAGAAGTCTGAGTTGGGGGGGCAGTTATTAAACCACTTCAGGCCACTTTCCAGAATTCTGGATAGAGGAAGAAGGCTGGGGTTCGAGTCCTGGCTCCAGCAGGACTCTCCACTCCTCAGTTTATCTGCTTAAAATGTGAAAAAGGATCATCTCTGAATTGTTGAACGAATAACCGATCTCATAGTTATTTTCCCAAAATAAAGTTTGAGAAAACCTTCTAGAAGCTTCTAGTCACTTAACAGTAGTACAGAAACCAAAGTTATTATTATACAAGCTTTTCAATAAAATTCAGATTGCCTGGAAATGTATGATTTTTTTTACTCAAACACAGTGTTGGCCATTCTTCCACGGTTCAAAGTGGAGGTTGCTCTTTAAAATAGGCGCAGATGGGAGCAGGGGCTCCCTCTTCAGACCGCTCAGTCAAGAGACCGGGGAGGACCCCTATGCCCCCCAAGGGCACTAAATGCCACAGCCTGTTCCCGGGAGTCGGAACCCATTCGCACCTGCACCGTTGTACACACTCCCTGGGCACGTCGGACAGGTGGTGGGGTAGCTCCCCTGCGAGGCCCCCGCAGGACTGGGGGGCGTGGAACATCAGGCAAGTGCGGGGCTTATTTAAAACTGTCACTCGGGCGATGGGAAAGTCAGCTGCCCCATCTGCTGTGTCCAACCCTGGAGTCACCTAGATGCCATTAGCTGATGAAGCTACCGACACCCATCCTAGGCCTGAGGACCGCGGAGTACGGACCACTCCCCAAAAAAGGAAAAGGGGAACAGCAACCATGGTGCTGAACAGGATGGACCCACTTCCCAGATGAATGAAGGAGCAAGCAAACCCAAGAGAGAATTCAGACAGGAGACAGGGTCAGAAACCCAGACAGAAAGAGTAAGCTGACTTCCTACCTACCTTCCTATCTGGACACATGATGCCCACCACCCACGTACAGAGCAAAGCACACAGCATGTGGGAAGAGAGACTAATTCCAAAGACGTAGTTGGGGGCCAATGGTGCTTCTTCTGGCCTTAAGATTGGTCTAAGGTAGCGGCGAACTTCTGGGCCAATAGCTCTGGTGTCTGGTTTCCGGGGACAGGAAGGCCTCGCACACCCCCAGGGGCCGGCACTGGGGCTCCTCACCTGAATGTGAAGAGAGTCCCCATGTCCAGCATTGACAGCAACTCCGCTTTCGACTTGGGGAAAGACAGCCGGTAGCGCAGTGTCTCGAACGCAGGGACGATCATCGCCTTCTTGGTGTTGGCAAGATCGAGCTGGATGATAGACTTCCTGAAAGGAGAGGGCAGGCAGAGACAGGGTCCCCGTGAGGCCAGGCAGAGGTCTTTCCCACCTGAGGGCAGGGAGGGGGCCCAGGGGGCAGAGGACAGAAAGCCCAAGTCAAACCCTCAGTTTAAAGATGGGGAAACTGAGGCCCGGGGAGGCCAAGCAGCTTGTCCAATACCACTCAGGAGTCCAGAGAAGAAAGGCTGCCTCTGAGTCAAAAAATGGAGTCTCCCTGGAGAGTGAACCGAGGGCAGGCCAGATAGGAGGGGCTGGGAGACCCTCCCTCACTTTCACAGTGAGTGTCCCTGGCAGAGCCAAGTGCAGAAGGCAGGTCTCCCAGGACCCACAGGGGTTGGAGTCCAGCCTGCAGGGTCCACTGGGCTGGCTCTCCACTCCTGCACCACTGGCCACATGGGAGCGTCGGACAGCAAGTTGATGAGATGAGCCCCAACCTGGGCATTTCTGGGTCCCATCTCTTGGACTTCTCAACCCCTCAAATCCCCCAGACCCTGAGCCTTGAGAGTCATCAGACCCACCCTATGCCGCCAGCACCTAACACAACAGAGCTCGGATCCCACGTGAGGGTGGGACATTCTCCACGCGCTTCCTCACTCCCACCTTTGAGGCTGCCCTTCTGCTCTACTCCTCTGAGACCCAGCTCCTGCCCTTCTACATTTGTCAGCCACTGCCCAGCTCTGCGGCCATCATTTTGAAAGGGAGAAAGGCTTAGAGAGGGACACAGAGCAGGAGGCTTGTAATGAACAGACAGGGTTTGAATCCTGGCTCCGTCACTTGGTGAGTCTTGCCGTATTGGGCAAGTAATTTAGCTTCTAACTACCTCAGGTTCCTCCTTCCTAAAATGGGGCAATGATTTACCTCCCTCCTGGAGCTGTCGTGGAGGCTGAACGAGGTAACATAAATACAAATACCATTTGGCACACTTGGTACGTGGCTGACCTGTAGCAACACATGGTCACTGTTCTACCATAACACGGTCCTTATTCCCTGGCTTGATCTCCCAATGATCCCTTTTGGCCATGACTTTGGTACTTCATTCTGGCTTCCTGCTCAGACCCCTGGCTCTTGGGACTCAGTGCCAGGGAGGGCTATTTGCTTATCATCTCTGAAGTAGAGAAAGCAGTCTTTCTTGGGGTAATCAAAGCATTGGAAGGCATTTTGCAAAATACTGGAAGTATTTTGGAAGTAGCAGCCTTCCATAGCAATGCGACTTATCGCTGTATTACTAAAGTCACTTCACTTTGAACTTGTGCATAAGCAGGGATGGGTCTGCAAAGGGGAGTCGTGCTACCACGAAGGAAAACTGTGTTAGCCGAGGCCAGTGTGGGGCAAGAACAGGGCGGCCGTTTAAGAAGGACGAGGCAGAGTTTGGTATCCATGAGTGATGAGGTCAGAGGAAGGACTGGTGTCAGAAGACAGCCCTGGGGAAGGGGGGAAGGGGGGAATCGGTGGCATCAGCACCCCCTAGAGAGGGCGTGGCTGAGATGGACCAGGTCATTTTAGAATCCTCTGAATAGCAGTTGCAATTCATTCTTTATAATTAGGCTTAAATATATACCAAATGCTATATGACCCTGATGTCACTATTTCTGGGGAGACTCATAAAGGATGACACCAAGATAGAATCGGGGTGAGCTATATTTAGCCAGTTGGAGGACCAGTAGCCTGAGTCAGCCTGCTTTGGTCTGCATTCCTCTCCTGCTTTGTCTCTCTGAACGATGACTTCCCAGTTGCCAAACATCCGAGATTCCCTCACCCATGGCCAAGTATTCTCTTCTCAATCAATTCTCTATTGGACATAGGCAGAATGGGGGCTTGCTGCCTTTCCTCCAGGAAAACTAGATCCCTTATCTGTCGGTTCTGGGTATCGGGGATGGGACACAGGGTCTGGGGGATATCCTTGGACTCACTAGATGGCAAAGCCCCTGCAGCCACCAGGAAGGAGGGAGAGGAGAGGCACCCAGCATGGGTGGTTGCTACTCATTCAACAATCCTGGAGCGTACCTACTATGTGCTAGGCACTTGCAGACACAGAGTGAACAGAACAGCCCGAGTCCTTCCTGCCTGGTATTCACATTCTTGTCGCAAACATCTCAGGATGCTAAAAGCCCAAGATTGCATCTGCAGCTAATTATGTTAAGGTAATTGGGAAAAGCGTGGGAGGCCAGGAGCACTGAACCACAAAGGGATGGGCAAAGCGTGTACACACATCCACAACAGAGGTCTGTGGATGCACGTGTCTGCCTCTGTTACTATTATGATCACGGTTACAGTAGCCACTTCCCGGACTGCCCTGCTCAAAGATGATTCTCTTTCTCATGGTCCCTGCATGTAGGAGCAGCTCTGGGAACTCAGGGCCAGGGGTAGATGCTTGACTCAAGCTGAGCAAATCAGTTTCTCACTCCTGGAAATCTGAACAGAGATGCCGAGATTGGAAACCTAAGAGCCGACATGCGCTAACGTCAGGCAGTTCTCTAGAGGCTTCTGAACTTCAGCTGCAGAGGGGCCCAGAGCTGCCCTGGTTAATTATGGTCTCAAGTATCGGTTTTCCAAATTCTACTTTGGTGCCATAAGAAATACCACTCAACTGTTTTTTTTCTTTCTTTTTGTTTTGTTTTCCTTTGATTTCTTTTCATTTCAATGAAGCTGCCCACTGTTGGTCTCTGTTGCTTACAACCAAAGCATGCTGACTGATAACATTGCACGTTCCAGAGTATGGAGACCCAGCAAGCAGCATGCCTTACAAAATGCAGCCTGAGAAAGTTCTTATTTCTGTCTGCAGAGAGAGCATCAGATCCTGGAGTGCCTTCTAAAACTCCCTTTAATCTCACTGAAACACAAACTGCCACCAAGATGGATTTGTAACTAGATAGGTCCATTTCAGATTCAGTCCAAAGACGTTTGGATATTGATGTCCTGAATGGGTCTCATTATGAAGTTTCAGCAATAAAGTGGTTTCAGGATACTGACTCCGAGCACATCTGCTCACTGAGCTGGGAATGATATAGCTTGGGCCCTTCCGCAAGGTTTCCTGTCGGTATATCCTTCCCTTGCTGGGGGTTTGCTGAGCCCCTGGGGATGTACAATGTGCCTCCACCATTTATCTGGAAAGGGAGTCCTGCAGGAGATAGAGTGTTTCAAATGAGCAGAATCTTCTGGGGAGATTGGCTAGACTGGGGGCCAAGAGATGTGAGTGCTGCAGCCAGCCCGGACAAGCTGAGTGGCTTTGGGTCATGTCTCACATCTTTTAGAATGTTAAATCTAGAGTGACACTGAAGATTCTGGAAGGTACTCTAGTGCAGTAGCAATCAGACACACTTGGCTTCTAGCTTGGACTCTACTGCTCCTCTTAGAAAGTCACTTGAACCATTCTGAGTCTCAGAGTTCATGCTCTTGTTAAATATTTTGGTGAGGAAAAGCACACGTGCACATGGGAGTCCTTGGTGCAATGCCCAGCCCACATTGAGCACCGTGTGTATGGTGGTTAAGCCTGTGATGGTTGCTTTTATGTGTCAGCTTGGCTCACCGAGGGTGCCGGCTGTTTGGTCAAATGCTCATCGAAATGTTGCTGTGAGGATATTTTGTGGACATAATTAATGTTTACAAGCAGTTGACTTTAAATGCCCTTGGCCTCAACAATGTGGGTGGGCCTCATCTAATCAGTCGAAGGATGCCAGAGCCAACACTGAGCTTCCCTGGGGAAGAAGAGATTCTGCCTCTGGACTGTCACATCAAAATCCTGCCTGAGTTTCCAGCCTGCTGGCCTGTCTTATGGATTTCAGACTTGCCAGTCCTCACAGTGCCTTAAAAGAACTCTCCATCTTGCTGGTTCTATTTCTCTGAAGAATCCTGGTTGATGCACGTCCTTGCTTCTCACCCAAGACCCTTTCAGAAATATTCCCAAACCTACTACAACATTTGTGGACTGAAGAACTCTTAAAAGGTTTCTACTGAAGTAGTTCAGAACCCTGCTTGTACAACAGAGAGCAAAGCAAATACACGTGACTTGGAACCAGCTGGCCCCGGGGTTCAAATTCTGCCCGCCACTCTCTTATGACCTTGGGCACGATATTCAACTTCTTGTGGTCACAGGTTCCCCGGCTATAAAATGGAGATGATAACCCTTATCAATTAGGGTCGCTGAAAGGATGAAGCGAAACAGTCCCCTAGGGCCTGACCCAGTGCCTGACTTACAGTAACTGCTAACAAACGAGCCCACTTCCCGTTTCTGCCTCGGCTTACCAGTGGGCCTCCTGCCGGAGATGGGTGAGTGCAGAGGAGTCAGGAAAGGCAACAGACTCTTGCAACCAGGGCAGGATTTTGTTGCCAACCTGCTTATCTATGGAAACAGAATATATTAGATCTCAGTCTCCAGCCAGCTCTCTGGATCCTTCTGTCAGAAACCATTCAGGTGTTCCTGACAGAGTAAGTTTGGCCCCTCTGATCTGGTGGAGCTGGAGGTCACCGGGGACCGGCTGGGGCAGGGAGGGACTGAGCACTGGGCAGCGTCCGTCTTCAAGCCCCCCAGGCCTCCCGCACATCTTCCCTCAGCGTCTCCCCTCCACTTACTCAAGTGTGCAAATAGCTCACAGCCTGTTTGGCACCCACCTGGGAAAAGCGGCGAGCAGGGGGGAGAACGTGAGTGGGTAGTGAGGATTCCTATACCAACCGAGTGGGTGGCCAGGGGCCGCCTGGAGACTCGCACGGCTCAGCATTATGTCAGAGACACAGCACAAAGGGGACGCTGTGAGGAAGATGGGCTTCCTGGGGTTTAGAAAGACCAAACCCCGCGACGGGATCCTGGCAGTGGGTTGTGAGTACGCACACCCACATACGGGCACATGCGCGTGCACGCACACACACACACACACACACACACACACACACACTCGTACCCCTCCATCTCTCTCCTTTTCACCCCATCCTCGAGGCGGGTCTCTGTCACCAGGGAGACAGCCCAGGAGCCCGGCACAGAGAGATTTTGGGAA